GGGTGGCAGAGCGTGGGCCTGTTCTGCTCTCCAGCCCAGAGAGCTGTGTAACTGGAGCCACAGAGAGACTGGGGTGCCCAGGGGATCTCATGAATTTATTCATGGTACTCAGCATCTTGTCCACTGCTGGGCATCCAGGACTCCAGGAGGCAGTTACTGTGCCAGGCAGCCAAGGGTCCCTGGCCAGGGTTGGTGCCCCTCCATTGCCACCTTAGCCTCTGGAGGCATCATGGGGCTTCTCTTCAAGAGTCACTGTCCACAAGCACCTAGGAGCTGTAGGATGTGGGCGATCAGGGCTCAGGATTGACAGGTAAAACACAGGATGCCTTGTTAATTTTGGATTTCAGATGCACAATGAATACTTGTTTAGCATAATTATGTCCTATCTGAAGCACATTTGGGACATATTTGTACTTCAAATTATTCATTGTTTATCTGAAATTCAAATTTAATGGGGCATCTAGCATTGAGAAAGGAGAGAAGGGGCTGGTCATTCGCCATCACTACGCCTGTGTCCTAGACACCACCTCAGCTTCAGGGAGAAGGTCTTGAAGGATCTTAGCATCACGCACTAAGAAGGGGAGCACTCAAATTTTACATGGCTCTCCGATAAAGTGAGGCTCGGGGAGGAGTGTACTGGTTTCCTATTGCTGCTGTAAAAACTTAACCGGAAGCTTAGTGGCTTAAAACAACACAAATTTATTATCTTACGGTTCTGGAGGTCAGAAGTCTGAAAGTCAAGGTACCAGCAGTGTTCCTTTCTGGGGGTCCTGAGGAAACCCATTTTCTTGTCTTTTGTACCTTCTAGAGACTGCCCACATTCCTCAGCTGGAGGTCCCCTTCCATCTCTGAGGCCAGCGATGACCGTCAGGTCCTTCTCACGTCACATCGCTCCCACCCCATTTCTTCTGCCTCCCCCTTCCACATTTCAAGGATCCTTGTGATTACACTGGGCCCACCCACATAATCCAAAATAATCTCTTTATCTTAAAGTCAGCTAATTAGCAACTTTAATTCCATCTGCAACCTTAATTTCCCTGGCCATGTAATGCAATGTGTTCACAGGTTCTGTGGGTTAGGACATGGGCTTCTTTGAGGGGGAGGAGCCTGCACTTTCCTACCTCTGGGAGGTTTCCAGTGTTGCTTTTCCTCCCTGCAGTTTGCTCATGGAGTCCCAGACCTGGTGCTGAAGGACATCGCCTGCAGTGAGGCCCTCCTGGAGCGCTTCATCATCTTCAGCCAGCGACGTGGGGCACAGACCGTGCGTGCCGCCATCTGCCCCCTCTCCCAGGTCACCCTGCAGTGGATGGAAGACACTCTGTATGCCAACGTGGACTTCTTCAAGCTCTTCCGTGTGGTAAGGCACGGCCCTAGCTGCTCGCCTGTTGGAAGGTGATTGCTGGGGCAGCTGGGCCTCGTGAGCGACATTGGGAAGGACAAGAGCCTGGTGTTCGGGACAACCCCTGAGGAAGGTCCAGGCTCCCAGGGCCCAAGAAATCTTGACTGATGGTATTTCTAGACCAGCAGCCTGTGGACCCAGGCATCACTACACTATTAGGTTCACTATTGGGCATGTGGTTGTGGCAGGTTTGTGTCCACCCCCTCTGGCAGCGTGGCAAAGGACGGAGGCCTGGTTCACTCCCTGCCCTACCGTTCCTAGCTAGGTGATCGTGGGCAAGATATTTAACCTTTNAAAATAAGACCCCACAGTTTCTGGCAGAGTTCACACTTAATCCCTTTCGAAGTGTGACTTTCCCCTGGAAAGATACTCTAAAATTTTCCCAGCTTGTTAGGATGGGCCTCCAAAGTGTGTTAAGAGGGGTCAGGACCTACGGACGCCACCACACCTCAGAGCCCAGGACCCAAGAAAAGGTCTCTCAGCTCCCTACACTGCGGGGAGAACAAAAAGCCATGTGGTCCAAACATCTCTGTCCAAAGTTTCCAAAGGAAGCCAGTTTTAGACACACTCCTGCGTTTGTTTTCAGAACCAGAGGCGTAAGTGAGGCAAGCAGTCCCTTCTTCCAGGCAGCTGACCAGCCAGCACCCGTGTTTGTGGGCCTCTTGGAGGCTCCCCGTTAGGTGCACCAGTGCCCGCATGCTGTGGTGGGGACAGTGAACCATGTCTGTGAGCCTGGGCTTTGTGGCCAGGTCCGGCTGCCTTGGTGCCCAGGATTGTGCAATCGTCCTGTCACTAAGAAGGGAGCAGGACTGTGCTTCTCTTCCTGAAGTACCTTCGCCACTGGTATAGGGAAATTTACCTTCCTGAGCATGACCTTTGATTCCGGGAGGACGGTCCCAGATGTGGCCGGATAAAGGGGTGCCTGGGCAAAACTTTCCATTGGTGACTGGACTCAAAAGTCAGGTCACTGGCTTCAGAATGTTTATTTATCAAACAAGAAAGACCAGAAAGTCTTTCCTTCTGTCCTTCCACGCTGCTCTGGCAAGTGTCAGAGTACAGAAACCAGGGACTAACTTTGGTGGGTCACCCTCACTGACCTCAGGTGGGCTCGGTGTGATCGCTCCCACTTCTGTATGTTTATTCCTGCACTCACACCTGCGTCGGGCTGCTGGGACCAGGCACTGTGCTGAGGCCACGGTCCCGCCACAGGCCTCCCACCCTCACGGAACTCACAGTTAGACCACAGATGAGCACACAGGCATTTCACAGCAGCACAGCCTCGAAAGACCACCACCATCAGCAACTGTGCCCGAAAGCAAAGCTTCCTAAGCTTGGCTGCATGTTGAATCACCTGGGGAGCTTTTGAAAACAACTAACGTCCGGCTCCCACCCCGAGAGATTCCGAGTCAGTTGGTGTAGGGTGTAGCCTGAACTTCAGTATTTTTATTTTCCGAAGCTTCCCAGATAATTCCAATGTCCAGCCAGGGTTGAGAATCGCTGACCTAGAACACAGGAGTTTGGTTTACAATCTCAATTTCTGCAGACCAAGCGTAATAATAATGACAGTAACCCNTGGTTCACTCCCTGCCCTACCGTTCCTAGCTAGGTGATCGTGGGCAAGATATTTAACCTTTTCTGGCCCCATTACTCACCTATACAGCAAATATAACACTCTATAGAGCAGCAGGAAAAGACATGAGAAAAAATATGTAGAAAGCATTCAATAAATTTCAATAAATGAGGGCTTCATGCTCCTTCCTATGGGTCTGGTCTCGACCCCAAAGATTGCTGTTTCTAGACAGAAAAAATTACAAAGAAAATTTTATTGTCTCAAAATTTTGGAAAGCCCTAATCTCACTCAACCATCTGTTCTGAGCTGCATCCCAGACAGACTGCTTGGGACCTGATGAAATCTCCTTTGCTAGATGAAAGGGAATTATATGAAGGAGGTGGACAGCAGAGGTCCTCACACTGTGGAGGGCATGAAAGTCATCAGAGAGGCTGATAAAAGGTGCAGGTTCCAAATCTCCACCCCCAGAAACTCCAGTTCAGGAGAACCGGGCTGGGCCCCGTGTCCGCCTGGCTCCTTGGGAGAATTCTGATGGGGGTTATTGTATGACACATGTTCAGAAACACTCAAAATTAGAATCCTTCAGAGAAGATGACATTCCATAATGCTGCTAGCACTAACTCGTGTTTTTCTTTTGTCCACATTTTAATTTCTGGAACTGTGTTATAAGGAATGTCAGCCACTAAGAACTTAATTGAGGAATTTGTACCTTTTTTATGGCTGCCTCTCAAGTCCCAGAAAGCCCACTCTCAGCTTGTCTTAAAAAGCAAGCTGAAGGCTTTAAAAAATGAAACAAAATAAAAATAAGACCCCACAGTTTCTGGCAGAGTTCACACTTAATCCCTTTCGAAGTGTGACTTTGCCCTGGAAAGATACTCTAAAATTTTCCCAGCTTGTTAGGATGGGCCTCCAAAGTGTGTTAAGAGGGGTCAGGACCTACGGACGCCACCACAACTCAGAGCCCAGGACCCAAGAAAAGGTCTCTCAGCTCCCTACACTGCGGGGAGAACAAAAAGCCATGTGGTCCAAACGTCTCTGTCCAAAGTTTCCAAAGGAAGCCAGTTTTAGACACACTCCTGCGTTTGTTTTCAGA